AGAAACAAGGATTTCCTTGGGCTTCAGAGATCCTATTCAATTACCTAAATAATTAATGAAGCAGTTTCATTGGGCTGAAAAAAAATCGATGATCAGTGGATCTGCATTTCAGAACGGTGCAAAGACCATGGTGGTCTCCTCTCATCTGTGTCGCTATCAGTGAGAGGGGCACTAATAAAAACCTGAATTTTCTATGCAGCTGTTTTTACAGACTTCTAAGGATATTTCTTCGATAAATAAGTCAAATTCTGTTGGGATTAGCCACAGGTTAAAAAATATTAGAGTAGCATACACATGCATAGGGAATAAGGTCTCATAAATCTTGATGCCTTAAAAAAAAGTAATGAAAAAAACAGTTCCTTGGAAAGTTATTTATTAAAATATTTAATAAATATTTTATTATTATTTAAAAATAATCCTGTTTTCATAAAGAAAACAGAGTTTACAAATTAAGGCTTCTTGGAATAATGACACAATTATACCTCTACAGAAGTTAATTTCAATTAGCAACCAATACCTGATTCTCTGACAGTTAAGAGAAGTAGGGGATTTTGCCCTCAACGCCTGACCAAATTACAAATACCCCATGAGAGGTACCCCATACAAATACCCCATGCTGAGAAATCAGTAAAAAGAGAGAAAACTCGAAATAGCTGCAAATTGAATGGAGCTGACTTCCATTTCTTGATGCATACTGTGAACTCTACAACAACCTCCACGTGTAACCCCAACTATCATAAAATCACAGAATGGCTTGGGTTCAACCAGAATACATGTTTTTCTGACTTTTCTCATCCTCATTTCTTCCTGACATACTTCTTTAACACTGTTGACACATTATAAATTAGCTTCTGGTGTAATACTATCCTTAAAACATCATAGCATCATTATGCAGATTCCAGTAATGGTTCCACAGTAAAGCCCAAGGTGAAATTTGCAGATAAAACTTGCTTAAACTTGCCGTGTTTCACAATGGACTAATGAATGCAGCTGTCCAGATGCCATTTCCAGCACACCTCATTACAGAACAGGGGCTAACTTCTGCAAGCAAAGCATTCGCAAAGCACCTGAAAAATACAGTCCATCCACTCTAATCCCTGTCAAGCTTCTCAATTTCAGCTCTGCTTTTCAACTGCCACCATTTTCTAACAGCAAAAATTCAAACACACGCAAAAAACCCTGCAAAAGTGCAAAAAACAAAACAAAACCCAAACGAACACAAACACACCCTTAAGAAAAAAAACAAAGTGAGCTGGGAAATAATCTTAACAGCAGGGAACTTCCATTGCTCTGGCACATTGGTGGCTGGCACAGTGGTGGAATGTTGAAGGAAAAATATCCCACACCCTACATTTAAATCAAGGATGTGCCTGCAATGAGTCTTCCAATTCTGACTAGGGCTCAGCACTGCTGCGCTTGTGCAGTGGTCACACTACACTTTAGATCTAGAGGGGCATAGCTGCTTTCCAATGAGAACCTTTAGCAGCAGAGATGGAAAAGAATGCATTGCAAAGATACAGAGCCTGGTTAACTTCGCAGAAGTACCACAAAACCTTCTTTAATTTCTACTTGTCACAAAGCAGAAGGAAATGCTTGTGATGGTCAAATTGGGCAGGGACAGTAACCATAACTAGACTTTTATAAAGATATTTGTCCCCCACTGGGGTTATGTAAAGATTTGTTTGTTTTATAACTGAAGGTCTCGTGTAAAATTTAATTACCTTTATGACATTGTGGGATTTTTTTTTAAAGAGAAAATAATTAGAATTTTTGTCTATAATTTTCTGAGCAGCATTTTTTTACCACACCTAGCTAATCAAGCTTTACAGCCCTTTGTGTTTACTCCTAAGGTAAACTCAGCCTGATATTTACATCAACACCCTTGGGCTGAAAGCACATAAGGCATGAATCAGTCTCTGTGGAATCCTCAACAGAAGTTCTGGTTTGTGTGACATTATACAACTCTTAGCTGACCTGTGATGGTCAGCAATGCAATAACTAGTTCAGAAAACAAACAAAAAACAACCACAACCAAAAAATTCATCACCTGCATGTGATGTAGAGCTTCACTGAAACCATGGATAAAAGAGTGCAGTAGTCAAAACATTGGCATAATTACAAACCCACAAAATTACAAAAAGAAAGATGAGGTACATGACAAGTAATTAATAGTTCATGTTTTATCTATAAAATTTAGATAATGTATATCTTTATATAGTAATGAAAATAATTTACAAAGCTTATAGTTTGTAACAGAATGTGTTCCCATATGTCTCCCTTATTACTAACCCCAATTCTAACCGATGTATTTTGCCCTGAAATTGAAAAGCCCCTCTGTCAAATACATTTGGAGGAAATAACCTCATACCAAATACCATTTTACAGCAAGCCTGCTAAATGCAGCAGCCTATTCTAGCTCAAGCTCTTATGATATTTTAAGATTATAAATGCAGCAGGTGATGCCTTGTTGAGGAGTGTCATTGCAGTGTCATGCAAGAGGGCACTACTCCCTTTAAAGGATTTGAAAAATGTGACAGGTATGGAAAAGCACCCAGGTGTGTGCACAGACTGTTCTCCACTCCTGCAGTAGGATTTATTCTCAGGAGAAAACAATACAGGCTCCCATTGCTTATATGGAGCTTAGGGACATATCAGCATTTCCCTTCCTACCAGTTGTTGAGCCCTGATCACCAAGATGTGAAACAGGAGAACACTTCTTAAAAACATTGGCATACCTCTGTATAAATCATTTGTTCTATCAATTCATCAGCTTCTGCTTTACATGTCCACCAATAAGCTAGCCTAACCATTCTCAACGTTTTCATAGATTTCACAAAACTCTGAAACATTCTTCTTATGTCCAGCCTCAGTTTATTCCTCAATATATTTGTTCTCACACCACCATTGGCCTCCTAGCTTTATCTCCCTTCTCTAAGTTGCTTTCATGTAGAACAGACAGGTCCATTCTCAATTGTTGTTGTAACAAACAAATTAAGCTACAGTCACCCAGTGTCCTCTCAAATGGCAGGTTTTCCCTTTCCCATGCATACTCTTTCATCCAAGCCTCTGTTGTGAGCTAATTTTCCTCAAATATGGGTGATATTCCAGCATAAAATTGTTCTACATAAAACCCTATCAGAACTTTGTTCAACAGTATTTCCCTTTTTCCACTGGAAATGTTTCAACCTCTAACACCTCTAGATCTCATTACCTTTTTCAAATCCATGTCATATCAATATCAAATTCTGATTAAACACTGCTTCCTGTATTTGTTTTTCTTCCTTTTGAGGTGCTTAAAGTGCCTCAACTGGCAACTGAACTAACCACAAACATGTGATTGAAAGTCTAGCTTGGTATAATATTTCCCACATCAAAAGCAACAGACTTAGCAATACTTCTGTCCCAGATTAAGATTTTTAGGTGTGGCTCCAGATAAATTTTTTGCTTACTGGAGTTAATAGACTCCAAAGATTTTGCACTGAACTATAGAAAAGTAAAGTTCAACATAACAACATTGCTTGGCTATGAACAAATTTGGAGACAGTAGAGAAGTGGAAAAATTAATTCAACCATTCTATTCCAAGGTACAGCACCCTTAAGAAAACACCACCACCTTTCGTTGTGTGCTCCTGCATTTTCCCAGGCAGCACTTTTTCTAGGACACTGAGACCTTTACTAAGACTCCTGCTCCACAAAGCTGGCTTAAACACTCTCAGCAGCAGGCCACCAGTGGTTTGGCCTCTCTGCTACTCCACCACAAGATTCTGCTCCCTCCTTTGCCTTTGGATTTCCTGTTTATCTGCTGCTGCCCTGAGCAACCTAACAAAGAAGCAGAGCTTTTACCTTCACAGCATTATGGTGCTTGCATTTTAAGTGTAATTCCTCTTAGAATCACTGCAGACACAATAAGACCTGTTAGGGAAGTGACTAGAGATGCTGTCAGAATATCTGCTGCTACACAGAAGTTTGCCTTTGACACTGCAAGGACAGACAAAAAAGCAGGTATTTTCATAGGAAGTAATTGTTTTCTTATTAGAGTATGATATCCCATTAGTTATTTTATGTTGTTCCTTCACTACTTCAGGATTCAAAAATCCACAACAGGAATTATTATAAAAATCTTCCAAAGTTTTTTTTTAAATATAAGAATTGTTTCCTTATACAACAGCATCAAGTGAACTTACAAAATCTTAGTTGCTAAGCACTTAGCTCAAAAGATTCAGCTAGAGCTTATCAGCTACATAGAGCATGGTCATCAACTGCAGAGGAAAATAAACCCACATTATTGTGAATGCAAAATGATCCTTGTCTATAGCAGTCTAGAAACCCCACAAAAGGAAGACTACCTGCAATACCTGTTGATGTGAGTAGATGGTCTTGCAGATGCAGGCAGTGTGCTCTTTTTCCACTGTAATCATAGTTGATCAGATCAGAGGTTGAAGTACCTGAAGTTAGGCCAACTTAAAACCAAGAAGTTTTTAGAAACTCTTTTTAAAATTATTCTGCTGTAGGGACAATTAAAGCAAAGTGATTGTGATTTCAGTGTGAGTCAGTTGAATTCACCAGCACAACTTCCAGCTCTTACTAAGATAGCAAAAACACACAGTTCTTGACCTTGAAAACTTGGTCACTTTCAATCTCTCAGTTGAAATAGGTTTTCCACTTTTTAAAGATTCTTCAGGAAGTAACTGGTATTATCTTGCTCATCCTCCCCTTGATTAGGTGGTCTGTAGTAAAAAGTAAATACAAGTTTTTCTTTCTTGACTCCTGATTTTCACCTGCAAGCTATCAGCCTAGCTGTCTCTGACAAGTGAACTTAAAAACTGTGAAGAATATGTCAGCAAAACTAATATTTATTAAGAGAGAAACACATAAAAAATGTATTAAGAACCATACTCATCTATAAGCCCTTACATAATTTCATCGGACAAACCTCCTGTCCTCAGCTTTAAATCCAGAATCGATACATTCAGCTCGATGTAAAAGCCATAAAAGTAAGTGCTAAAAAGTGTAAGAGTTTAAAAAGCCATAAAAGTGCTCATTTGCCACTGTTCTGCATTACATATTTTCCAACTGCGTAACTCAGTACTTTTCTCTGGGCTTTATGCAAAGTGAGGTGAATCCCACCCCACAGCACAGCAGCATCTTACATTGTTTTATTAATTCACATTCATAAGGTGTACCTACCTTGACTATTGACGTTTCTAAAATACGTAAGACACAAAAATTCCTTCAACAAAGGTCTGGGTGAATTATAAGTTAAGAGCAAGGAAAAAATATCTAATTCAAACCCTTCAAAGGAGCCTCCCTTCCTCTTGCACAGAAAGAGAAAGCTGAGACTTACGGCATTTTCATCATCATTTCATCATCTCACGATGATCAAACTGTAGGAAGTAGCAACAAAATCCCAAAATGTGTTTTTATTGTTAAATATAAAAGACATTTATTTCCTTGTTTACCAAACAAATTTTTTTACCAAAATAAGATAATCTGTATAGAATTTCTGGGAGAACAAAAGCCATTAAAATCCTTGAGAAGGGTAGGAAGGAAACTGAAACCATGAATGGCAAAATGGGAAGCAGGCAATGACAGTTTAGTCTTGAAAGCACATGGGCATCAGCCAGTAGCAAGGTGAAAGCAAGAGGAGACATTTCCTCTCTCGTGTGTCATTTTCATCTGTGGAGTTCTTCTTAAGATGACATAAATTGTACAAGTTCCTGAAGGGAGGTTCTAAAGCAAGAGATAAAAGTACAGAAGGAATCTCTTTCCTCAAACACCAACACACCTCTGACAAAAGGAGGCGCATCCCTCAGTAGAGTCTGGAAGATTATTCTCCAGATGCCTGAACGGTTTGTATAGACCTCTCAAATGATCTGGAATCAGCCACTGTGATTTGAGATACCAAGCTGGGTAATTCCTCACTCTTCCCCACATGAGGAAGCAACATCCATGTTGTACTGTACATGCCTTGGGTTTTCATCAGAGACGTGACCTGGAATGAGTTTTCAGTGTCAGGTGTACTGCTCCCTCCAGGAAGAGAGTTTCCAGCTATTCACTATCAGTGTTCTGTCTTGAACCTCACAGCTTTTGTACACTGCAGCCTCTCTGTATCCTCAGCCTTGGAAACCACTCATGTATTTGACTTATTGGTGACTTTCTTCAACTTCCTCCTTTGCAGAGCCAAGTTTAGGGTTTTGAGGAGAGTGTCCTTGTTGTTCAGAACATTGTAGCGATTCACTTCCACTAACCTGCTGAAATCATATGGCTCAAAGGTGAAGTTTAGGGTACGGTAAGGGGAATCTTTTGACTCAATGATAAAGTCACCAAAGGATTTCTCTTCCTCTGACTCACGTTCAACTCCTGCAGCAAGAAAGAAAGAAGAAAAAAAAATCACAAAAACCCTCTGCTGTGGTAGAATCATTTTAGTTCAGTTCTGCTAGGAGGATATCAGAGATAATTCTGTTGAAATTTAACTTTTTCCCCAAAGCTCCTCCTCAGAGATATCAGCTCCTTCCAAAATATTTGAAAGCTGAAGGGGCAAAGTATTTCCTTTCTATTTCCACTTGGATCCAAAACACAGTACTAAAATACATTTCCATTGTGATAAATTGTTAAGTTCATCTTTGATTATTATGCTCAAAATAAGAAATATAAAGCTCAGTTCTCCCTGGAAGTGCTGCTCTACACTAAAATGAAAGACAAACCTCAAGTTGAACAGGCCCTAGGAGTACCTTGCCCCTTACATTTAAATACCAGTCTTAAAAGATGAACATCAAAGTAGTTTACTGCAAACACTTTTGTGGGGGAAGGGGTGTTGTGAGCCTCTTCTCTCATCCTGCCCTTAAAAAACTAGTGGAAACTGATTCTGCCTTAAAAGTAAATTACAATTTAACAATTACAGAGTAATATTAAGAAGAATCAAAAGAGGAACATTGACCTCACTGAATTTTCCCCGTCAGCACACCCAAAGAATTGTTAGAAGAGTGCTTTAAGATGCAGCTTGCTTACCTGGAGCTTTGTATTTCTGGAAGGTGTCATTCACCAGTGGGAAATGGAGTACAATGGGAGCCTTTGGATTATTGTCATCCACAAACATGTAACACTCTTTTGGCTTCCTTTCATCTTCCTCACTAAATTTGATTTTTGGAAAAGGAATGTCCCGCTCCTCACAGTATTTCTGAGTCAGCTCTAAAACCTGTTATCAGAGGAAAAAGATAATTGCAATAGAGCACCAGCAACACTTCTAAGATCATCTAACAGCAATCCTCAATGGGAAAGAGACTTGCATTTAAAAAAAGAAAAAGAAAAGAAGTGACAGAAGCTCAGTTTCAAATCAGCAGAAATAATTTTTCTAGCTGGTAATATAGAAGAATGAAGAGCAGAACTGCAACAAATATCAACAGATTGCAGCTGAAACTTTTTATGCTTTCCTACTCCAAATCTATTCACCTTGACTTTTCTGCACTTAATAATGAACATTTGTATGTACAGAAAATAACTTGTTTCCATGAAGAAAATCACCAATAGCCACTCTTTCTTTAGAAGCACATATCAAAGTAACAATCATCTTACAGGCCAAGCAAATAGTCTTATTTTACTTAACAATCTGTTTAGGCTTCTGAAAATTTTTGAATCTTCTTACAGTCATCAACTTTCTGTTTTCTCATGACCTTCACAGGAAAAAGCATAGCAAAATAATGTTTGAAATGTCTTTTCACAGGAAGACAGGCCAAGAGAGGTGGGGCTGTTCAGCCTGGAGAAAAGAAGGCACCAGGGTGACCTTCCAGTACTAAAGGAGGCTTACAGGAGATGGAGAATGACTTTTCACAAGGGCATGTAGTGACAGGACAAGGGGGAAACAGCCCTAATCTGAAGGATGGTAGGTTGAGATTAGATATTTGGAAGAAATCCTTCACTGTGATGGTGGTGGGACACTGGCACAGGTTGCCCAGAGAAGCTGTGGACTCCCCACCCCTGGAAGTGTTCCAGGCCAGGGTGGACAGGACTTTAAGCAAACTGGTTTGGTGGAAAGTGTCCCTGCCCATGGCAGGAGGGTTGAAATGAGATGATCCTTAATGTCCCTTCCAACCCAAACCATTCTGTGATTCCAGGAAAGACTTCTTTGAAATTCCTTCAAAGGATTTATTTTCATTTCTTGATTAGTGTTTATATTCAGCTTCAACTGATCTGCTGCTACTGAGTATGATTCTGTTTTTTTTATGTTCATGTAATAATGCTCAGCTACATCACTCACCTCAAATGGAGCTTCCCAGGAAAAATTGAATGACAAGATAACATCCACATCCCTCTCTGGCTGAAGTACCAAAGGAAAGGGAGAGTTGATGGAAAAGCCACCATCCACTAAATACAAGCTCTCCTCCATGGGAGTCAGCTGGTTGGGAAACGCATCCAGGTGAGTACCTGTAAGACACTCCAAGTAACACAAGTAACTATATTGATTCATTACACACATATTGGCAGAAGAAATAGACAAAGCTCATATATTAGTGTTACAAGAAGACAAAAGACATTCCAACATGCACTTTCATCTAAGACAGACCTATAATGTCTGATGATCAGCTTGCCTTATATGACAGAACAAATACAGTGGATTAAAATTTTTGCTATGGTGTAAGAAGGGATACATTCCCTGGCTTCAGCAGAACAAAGTCAAGCTCACTTATGTTCCATTGGGATATTATATAGTGTGTTAATATTTTGTGATAGTCAGATACACATAAACTCCTTTACCTCTCCAAGTCACAAATTTCTTGATGTTAACATAATCTTTGTGAAGATACAATCCCTTCATGAAATTGAAGGTTTCTCCACATGTGACGCGGGACTTGAAGAAATCCTGAAAAACTTGTAACAGCGGTCCCCCAGGTGTAACCAAGCGGGTCTTCAGCCGTGCTGGGTCTCGGAAATGGAATCTTCGGCAGTCATCTGCAGAAGTCACAGAAAGATGCAGAGCATGCACAAAGTGCCAGCTCTAACATTTCAATCAGGCCTTTTTGTACCATATTTAACCAGTGGTCCTAAGGCTGGATTTGTCCTCTAATAAGGGTATTGTAATGAAATTTAAATGCAATGCATATTCCATAGGTGGGTGATTTACTAGCCCTGTTTAACGGGGAAAGCTTTACTCATAAAGCATTGCCCATATTCATTTCAAACCCATACAAAGAAACCCTTGTTACCAAGTGACAACCCCTTCTGTCACATAAGACATCAGTCAATCACACACAGTAGCATTTATAACTACACAAAACAAAAAGGGCGGGATGTGCTGGGAACCAGGGCTGGAAAGGCAGAGGAAAAAAAAATCTTTTTCCACTAGTTACTATAGGGCCATAACTATGCACACGAACAAGTCCCAGCCTCTGAAACTGCAATGAACAAATGGAGATCAATGAATAAGCATACAACCATAGGGGAAACCGAAAGCCTCTTTTTTCCATCTCCTGCTTAGCAATCCAGCTTCTATTCTTCCTCTTCTCAGGATTATGATGCCTGCACTTTAATATGTGTTTAAGACAGCTCCCAGACCTAGCCCAAATTTTAGTCGAAGTCAGATAAAAATTCTTTTCAAAAGAAGAGGAAGTATACTAAAGAAACAATTTCTCTTCACTATAAGAGTGATCAAAGGGAATAACACACAATAAGAGATCTGTCCCAATCCACCCTTTGTGCTAATCTTGAAAACTACATACAGCACATTTTTGTATCATATTATTTGTGATCACTACAAAATCTTTTGAAAAATCCAACTATTTTTATGTATGTTCTTACCTACAACTTTGATAACATCTTTGAAAGAATCTAGAAAGCTCAGTCCTATACCAACCACCTTCAGGCAGATATCATCCAAGCTTGCAGCAAAGGCACTGCCCCACATTCCTGCAGGAGAAATGCAGAAGAATTTAACACTCAAAAGGTTTTTCATGGAACCAAAAGACCTATAATTCCCTCAACATTTTTCATGGGAGAGGGCTGTCACTTGATTCCTTACTATTCTAACAGTTTGAGTGAAAACCTTGGTGTTAATCATGTGAGAAATTATGATCTTACAATATAATGCAGAAAATTTTCCAAGAGAAAAGCACAAAAAAGTCAGTAAGAGAACAGGAAGACTGACAGTAGATATTTTTGACAGGCAGCTATAATAGAGTCATCTTGCAGACTCAGGACATCAGACTGTAACACTATGAACCAGCTATGAACCTAAAGCTCTGGAGAAAAATCGACATGTTTCACTTCTTCAAGTCCTTTGGAAAGGAAAAAAGGCATGGACTTGAGTTCGTAAGTCCCCAGAGTAGCAAAGTTCCTTTCCATCCCCTTATATGATAATTTAATCATTATCATAAGATCATACCTTGTAGAAAACAAATCCTGGGCTCTGGATGTTTCTGGACAAGCCGTCCCATGAAGAACTCGCTGTCAAAATTCTCTGTTCGAACAAAAGCTCCATATTTGCGAAACCCAACTTCATAGGGAGTGAACTCACACCATTCTAAGAACAAGCCAACAGGATATTTACTCAGAGTAAACATGAGTGAAAATACTGATCTGATATCTGTTCACACAGGGCAGACAGAAGGGACTCTCCCCCCACCTTTCACAATCACTATGGATTCCTCTGCCCCTCTGCTCTAGTTTCTATGTACATATAATTAATAAAAACTCTTGTGAAAGCTTTCATTCCATCTTGCTCCATCTTGACTTTGTTACTACAGAAATAATCTCCCTATTTTACTTTTAATTTAAAAAAGTTTTGATGGCTCCCTTTTCCATCCAAAATGGAAGCCACACTATTTTTCTCAGCTTTTCCTCGCACTATGAACTATCTCCCAGGAATTCCTGCAGTAATGGCTTGAAAACTCAGTTAACCCACTGCATCAGACTTCACTGTGTGCTTTCCAAAGTGCCCCCTCATGCTTGAAAGATTTCTACAATGAGTTGAAAAGTAAGGATCATCCAGTCTAACTCCTGGACCTGCACAGATCAACCTGACAAAACACAAAGCATGCATCTGCAAGCATTATCCAAATCCTTCTTGAACTCTGGCAGGTTGGACCAAATTGAATTCACTGCCATACACACCCACTCCTCAGAATAAAACAGACAAGTCCCCTTGTGGTACACAGATGGACACAAGCATTTGTGTTCCTGTCTCACTCATCCATCCCCACTTGTTGCATCATATTTGAAGTAATGTACTGGTCTTCATAGACTAGTCTTCATATTTTTACTGTAAGAACTCAGACCACTAAAACAAAGTGGCTCCCTTATCACCAAGGCCTCATTCTTTGATTCAGACAGAGACACATGTACTACAGGAACCTTCTCAGCTCCTGAAAATTTCAGGCAGTTTCTAGCAAAACATGTGGAGTGGCCAACAGTTCTGAATCTCATTTCTCCATTTTAGCCACGAAGAAGACATTTGCTATCAGGATGATAATACTTTGTCAATCGGTTTCTGATTGCCTCTTGCACTACCAACTGCTGCTTGAGCTGTATTTCCTGTTATCAGCTGCTCACTGCCCAAGCAGCTGGATAGATGAAATAAATGTGTGGACTTCAGCAAACAAAAATACATTTCTATGTTCATACCTGCAAAGTCTCCACTGCTCATATTAGGTCTCACATTCACAGCTGCATAGATAGGATAAGGGTTCTGGGCCCATTTCACTGCTGCTTGCTGATCAGACAGCTTTGATGAATCTTCCTGGTCACAAGCAAGGAAGGAGGAGCCCACTTAAGTCAGGTAAATTCTGTACCCACAGTTTGATAATTGGTAGCTGTTGCTTAGCATTTCTGATCAACAATACTACTAATTCAAAGTCCCTTTTCCTCTTCACTGTCCAGGTATATGGTTAGTTTTGTCCAAAATATTTCTGCAGCTCTGTATTTAGAATATTCAATGTTAATAAACTAGCTATCCCTCTGATTTTCAATCTCAATTACATAGAAAATACTGCACAATAACTCTGTTCTGCAAAATCAACATCATTCTGCCAGGCTTAACCTGCTCAGTACACAAGCTGTTATTTTAATAACAGTCATTCCAAATAAACACTGCATTTTTCTGTAACACTGATCCATATGAATCAAAAATTCTTTACTAAAGAAGATACTATGTTTATTCCACAGCACTGCCTAAACAGAGGTGAAGAGCAATTAGTTTCTTGACTCTAAACACATGGCTCACTAGAGTTCCCACTTAAACAGCAGAACACTTTTACCTCTTGTTGTAGAAAATATTCCACAATGAGGCCCCACAAATCTGTAAAGGAAACCTTCCGTCCAGTGATCTCCATTGCATTCAGCTCCTGGAAATAGTATTTCAGTCGTTCTGGAGAAAATGCCCCAGCTTTGCTGCTGGACACAGTGTCCTGAGCTCTGCTGATTGCATCTTGAAGGTCTTTCTGTGACCAGTCAGGGTCTCGATACAGTGTTGATAAACACCTGAAAATGCTTTTATTAATGTCATCAGTAATAAAGGCCTTTGTGTAAACAAAAATTTTAGCTAGTTGTAATTAGTGCTGCAGCACTTGAGAAGTCTAGATAAAAGAGTGAAGAATCCATGAATAAAAGACCTCTAAATGCTAAATTGTGATGAAAACCCTGACACCTACAGGACATCTTTGTTCTGATTGTTAACCTGCCTTCCAGAGATGTTCCAAGCATCCTATGCTAGCACCCACGAACTAGCCCATAAACAGTCCAGAAAAAAAACAACCATGATATGCTGGCTGATGGCAAGGGTGCCATGGCCTTTACCAGAAGAGAGGTCTGACTGAAGGAGAAGCTAGTTTGGACCGCTGACTATCTATACAAACAGATGCCCACATTTGTTTGGGAGTGTCTCTGAACCCAAAGGGGCAGGAGAACTAGGTACAGAGGAGTTAATTTAACACACAAAGCTTGGAAGGAAGAATTACACTGTCAGGTTGCACAACTTCTCTGTGAAATAAGTTCACAAAAACAAGGGAAGACTTCACCACAGACTCGAAGAACTGAGCGAATGAAACATTCTAGCCACGTCTAATATTTCAGCACATTGCTGAAATAGTGCAAGACAGTGCTATGCCTCTCTTCAGCCTCTGTGCCATTTTGGAAGGTGATGACCTAGTGGTCTGCACGAACATGTTTCCAGAGACTTGCACCACCTCAGTTATCTTCTTGGCAAAGTAGGGGAATGAGGAAGGTTTTTAAGTCAGTGCTCTGAGGTACTACACAGCAGTTTTATTCATGTAATTCATAAACTGTCAAACTTGCACAAGCAGCAGATTCATAATTTTAGCCAGTAGCTTATGGGTTGGACACAATGCTGGATCTCTTACACTGTTCAGGATCCCCTAAAGAACTCACAGATGAAAACTGGTAAAATACTTGATTTGCTGTCTGCCTACAGACAGCACAAATGTAATTTTGGTCTTATTTTGCATCAACACTGCCATTTCACCTCTATGTTTCTGAATCAAAACTGCATGTAGCTTACCAAGTGGAGCCAGAAATGCCACAGAGGTACATTGCAGCATCCAGAAGGCCCAGCTGCTGTAGCCCAGCAAGGCTGCCATAGAGGGATGTCAGTGCTCTCATCCCACCTCCAGAGCCCAGCACCGCCACGACTGGAACCTGCAGACAGCAAACTCAGGAGTCACAACCACAAGCTTGGCAAATAAATCACAGAACTAACCCCACTGCAGTCTCATTTGAACAACAAACAGAACATAAAAAATAGAGATATAAAATAGAGATATAAACATTTATTTCTATCTACATTACAAGTAATTTTGGGGTTGATTCCAAGCTGAACTTCTTTCTCTATTTTGTAATTGAAATATATTGCTTACTATAAAGCATAGCACGGTCATCTTAGGGACAGTCACTTACTGAAATTGCTATGTATATTATCACACATTTACTTTCATACAATACACATGTAAGAGGCAATTAGTCTTGTAACAGTAGCCAAATACCACTGAGCAAGGTATTAGGATATGTAAATGTAAGTTTCCTCAAATAAGCAATTAAGAATCTATTCCTGTGGTGTGAGTTTCATTTTAAACATTCTGAAACAAAATTTTCCATCACAATTCCAAGCCCAAAGCCCAAGAGTTCCAGTACAGTACATACATTCTGAAATTCCAACATTTGTGTCCCAAAACACGCACACATCCCTCAAAGTTTAAGAAATATAAAAACATTTAGACTTCAGAACTGAAATGTACCAGGGATTTGTCTCACACCATAGTGAATGCAAACCATGTTTCTTGTTGGTTACAAGCAAGGATTCCTACATTGCCTAATTATCAACCAAGCCCAAAGGATTTTACAGTCTCACTACAGGACTGTGCTCAATACCTCATCTTTTGGAGGGGATTCTTTTAAGTGAAGAGTCTTCCTCAGTGCCTCAGAAACTACTTTCTTCCTTTTGTCCAAAAATTCTCTCTCCTCTTTACAGAGATCAAACCCCATACGTATATCAAGATCCCAAGAGCTGAAATAGAAGTTAAAAAACATTGACATATTGGAGGATTTGTAATCAGTATGGAAATGCAATTTTTGTGAACACACAACCTAGGTGAAGATCTTGTCCAGGTGAAATTTTAGTGTATACATCAGTTATTTTGTACAACAGCTTTTGGAATTAAAAATTAAATTCTCCATATTGTAATTCTCCTTTAATATTTAAATTCAAAACTTCTGTCAAACAGTACTGAAATTAAGCTTCACAAAGGAATTTCACAAAGGAAGAAAAGACTCTTCGTAAGTAAGATTCTTCTTTGTGAAGAAGATTGTAAGAGGAGCAACTGACATCACTGTATCAACATGAACAAGAAATGAGGGGAAGAGGGATTTTAAAACAGAAGATTCTGAACTTAAGAGGCAGGAGGAGGCAACTGAATACCAATGAACTTGTTATGAAGCTCTAAAACAGGAGCAAGATCTTCAGCTGATGACTGGATACCAAATGACCCTACCAACTTACAAGCCAACTTCTTGGTTTTCTGGGTTTTTTTTGCCCTTTTTACTCCTTTCTTGCAGCCTTCGTCCATTTTATAGTTCAAACCCTTCACACATATATGTGCTTTCCTATCTCTCATTACATCACTTCATATATTCTGGTATACCTGTGCATGACAAAACTACTTAATATGTACATCAATAGCTATTTTACATTTAAGTGTTAGGAACACAAAATTTGTACAAGTGTCAGCAGGATTGACATCAACCAATAGATAATATCTGCAAAGTAAAGAGTCACAGCCTTCAGAAAATTACAAAAAAAACCCTATCAAATATATTTTTCTTTAATCTATCCCAAGAGATCAATGGAGTGAACAGACCTCCCCAGAACAGAAGGGAGAGTCACTCAGGTCCTTTATATGAAAATAATGACCTTTCCTGATTTTCCAGTGGGGTTCCCACTCACCTCTCTTCAGTTTTCAAACTCATATCCAAACTTTTTCCCTGTGAAAAGAGAGAACACATTGACACATTGAAGTTGAAAGCAATTACACAGGTGGAACTACAAAATAGAAGTTACGAATTATTTCCTCTGCAAGTGTCTTGCTTTTTCCCTCCCCTGATACTTTTCTTTCACACCCTGAAAATACTTTTTTCTTCAGAAAGTGATGAACTTTATACTTCATTTTGCAAGACCCGACCATGAAAACACATTAGGAAGAACTACACTGAGTAATCTCATTACTTCATTCTAAGACATCCAAGAAAACAGCACTCCTGAGAATCAATCACATGTTGCCTAACTTTCCAAACACCTAGAGGCAATGGAGGAAAAGGTTATCTCATGCACATTAAAGCAAGAGCAAAATATTGATATTACCTCTCCCAAAGAAATGATTCTATCAACTTTTTCTCCAATAGGAAGGGAATTAACTGGTACAGTCCCCAGTCCCAGAACTGTAGTGTGCTTTTCAATATCAGGGTTCACACCATCCTAATAAAAACAAAATCTTATGTGAGAGTCACAGAAAACAGTTTTAAAAAAATACTTTTATACATTGAAACAGCAAACAATTCTTAATATCACTATAGCTAAATATTTACCAAATATTATTACCAAATGCCTAAAGCTTTTCGAGGGCACTCTGCTTTTTACTTGGCAAGTCTTTGCAGGGGTATTTCATTCACTCAAACAGTTTCTTTGTTGTTGTTGTTTGGTTTCGTTTTAGGGATGTTTTGTTTATTGTTATTAGGGTTTTTTTAATATACCTGTCTGCCATAATTCAAAAATCTTTAAATACAAAATTTCCGCCAAAATAGTTTTATTCTAGCATGTGTCAGAAAACACAAAAACAAACTTGTATTCCATCTTCCAAGCAAGATTTGGAAAAGATACCAAAAAAGGCAGCAGCATTACACATACATCAAAAATACCACAAAACAGAGAAATAAGGCAGTATGTAATTAAAAAAAAAAAAAAACTTTAAAAGCAGAGAGAACTAAAGCTTGTCAGGAAATATTTGGGTTTTCTGTCATGTAGCAAATGGCAAGATCTCATAACACAGAGCTGTGTGCAGATTCCTAAATGTAAAGAGGCATATTAAAAACCCCTCATTTCAGAGGGTCACACAAGCCTCCAGAGCCTCCAGGTGGGCTGGAGCCCACACACCAACCACAGGGCTCAGCCCTCGGGAGGAGACCACACCTTGGAGAAAAACCAGGCTGGCACCCTTCTCACACCAAGAGCTGAAGTCAGGCCAGGAACCACCCACAGCCTTCACAGGCGTCTTCTGACCAACAACTGCTGTCCTGAGGCCAATGTCCCCCTAAGCTCACTGTCCTCTTCCTAACAGGGGCAAACAACATGCATTTAGGTACAGGGCAAGCAACACTACAACGTTCCTGGCGCTCTCTCACACCTGATAAGAGAGAAAAGGTCAGACTGAAGACTTCTGTGGTCTATGCCACTTGATGAAGGAGTATGTTCTGCTAGCCACCAGAGCTGGTTGGCAGAGGTTCCCCACCTGGGGCAATCTCCACAGTTGACCTCTACAGTGTTTTTTGCTTGCCTGGCTCTGAGTTTTTGATCACTCAAGCCCAGGTCTCTCTGTTCAGCTCATGTTTGCTGCCTAACAAACCCCCTGGCAAAGCTGTTCTTCCACATCCTTCTTTGTGTTCTCTTCTCCACAGCTGCCTCTACAGTAGCCAAGATCACCATTTGCAATCGTGCTACCCAATTGCTTGTTGGGATAAAAAACACCATAGAATAAAGAGTTTCCTTCCTCTCATTTTTGGAGAATGAATATTCAGTCACTACCTGGAGAAATTGCAAAGTAAAAGACAAAGCTAAATAAACCTCTGCAACTGATCTACAAGTTTCTAATAGAAAAGAGTTCCTACAGACTATCTCAAAAGGTGAAAGTAAAGATGACTACATGTAGCAAGCATGTACGGAGTAACATTTTCTTAATTGCTGTGTTTGAACAGATGTTAAATCTTTGGGGAGCATAGACTCTTAAGGTAATTTCAGCTCCTTACACAACAAAGATCCAATGCACAATCTGACATTTAAAAAAAAAACTTATCTCTCTGTAAGCTTTATGGAATCAGCATGGATGCTTACCTGTAGGACAGATATAGTTTGCTGCAACTCCACTTGCAGTTCTGGACACATTTCTTTATCCACATGAAAGATAAATGAGGTTCCAGAATCCTTCTCATTATCTGGTGTCCAAGGAATAGACAACTGCTTTTGATATGCCCCTGGGACAGACACCTTGACTTCACAGCATCCTGTGCATTAGAAAAAGAAGTTGAGACCACAGGGGCCACTTGTTGAAAATCAAGTATTAAGTGTAGCTGAGACCATGAAAACACAAGTGAAAACTCTATTGTGGGGTACCCAGTAGAAAATACCCAATAGTATTAATAATTGAAAATAAAAGCAAAAATTGCTTTAACAGCCAATTTTGTAGTCAGTGAATTAAACTGCACTGTATAGACGGAGAATCAAGCTCTCCCCTCTCTCAAGGAACAAACACGTTCAAGTTGTCCTGACTTAAACTCTCCGGGCAGCCCTACCTTGCTGTTTCTCCTTTGCGTTTCCCTCTTTGTTGACAGTGCCTTGCAGACACAAGCAAGGATGAGCCTGTGAAAAAAAGAAACCAGCTCTGGTCACACAATTGTTAGTTCACTTCTTTGTTTGAAGTTTAATTCACCTACTATATTAGTTGTAGGTTTACAGTTGCAAACCGTCAAAAAAAAAAACATAAGGCATTGTTTTGTTATTTCAAATAAAGACCAAATTTTGTTTCAGTAGGACAGGATTATTAGATTTTGTTTCAAAATAAAAACCATCCTTTCTATTCCAAGAACTGGGTTTTTTTACAACCAGTACTTCACAGTTACAAGTTATGAACACCTGGGGTTTTTCTGGCTTTTTTACCTTTTTTAGAGGTATGCACAAGTACCGATTCAGAACCTGTTCAGATCCAAGCAAGCACTTCATAAATTTCTGTCCCAGCTTGTCTATGTCCTCATGAAATTTAGTCTCTCATACCATTCAGCCATCAGCTTACCCTCTAGGACAGTAGATGAGAGATTGATTTTGACACAATTTCCCTAAAAGATATAAAACTAGTCCACTGCTTGAATTAAGACTGACTTGCTGAGGGAAATTAGAACACAAAAGGTTCCTTCCTATGAAATAGTTTTCAGAACTGTGCTGTTAAATGCCACCAACTTTTCAGGGGGAAAAAAAGTTAAAACTCTACATTTCAACAATAATTTCAACCATAATCCTTCTCTCCTTACAAAAAAATCCATGGCTCCAGTCCCTTCTTTCAAGGGAGCAAAGAGGTAGTAACACTTATTTTTAATGTATAGCACACTGATTTTCTTAGACTGATTAATCAAAAACCACAGGGAGTGATCCCCTACTTAATAACGGCATTGATAAAAGCTTAGAAATAATATGCATTAAGGCAAGAAGAGGGACTCTTCCTGGACAGCATCTAACTTAGAAAACACAGTACAACCTTCAAGACTCACTTGCCTGCTAAAGATATTTTTTACAAATTTTATGGCAACCTTACAGGGAAAAAGCAAAGAAACAAACACCTCCAAACAAAAAACTGCAGCTTTCTGTAAGTTGGCATCAAGCTCAAAAATTGAGGAAGATTTTTAAATCAACAAATTCAAAAAGAGAGAGGTAGATCTTGGAGAGAATAGGAGCTGTTTGGAAGTAGGACTGTAATACTCAAAAATCCTTCTCTTCCTACAAGGAACTTATCTTGAGGAGCAAAATCACAGCACACATGATTCTGGTTTCCATGTACTCACCACAAGGACTCCATTGGTCAATACTTCTGTAGGGGCATCTGAGCTGTGAAAGCAAGAGGTTTATTGCAAATGACAACTGGTTTTAATTTTGCTTCATCCTACTTTACAAACTAGTTGGCTGAATAAGCAGTGGGATGAAAAGTTCCTCAGTGTGGGAGATCCAGGGAAACAGCAAGTATATTTCCCTTCACAAAATAATGGAGGCTTGGAAAATTTGAAAAAAAATTGTCTGCAAATATAAGCATGTGCTATAGGATCTCCCCATCCCAGTTATTTTGATAACCTAGAGAAAAGCTGAACTTAGATAATACTACCAGATAATAAAGTATACATTTGTGTATTTTGTAAGGTTAACTGAAACTTTCCACCCCCAAATAAGTGAACACTTTCTGGATTAGTTATGTCCCATGAAGTCCAGCAAAATTTTATTTCTTTTTTATCCCCAAAATTTTGGTGACTGAAGTATTAAGGATAATTTTGGCCAGCCATTAGTGGATCAACTCAATCACCACAGAGAACTATGAAGTATTATCCTTTTTATGAGCAAGACTATCCCTGCACAGAAAAAGCAACTGACAACAGATCTGCAGAGCACAAGTGCAATCAGCTCTTCAGGTAAGACTCACCATTTCTCCAAGAAAAACTCTACATCCAGCTCTTCATTAGCCTTTGAAAATAAAAGTTGGATATTGGTGACCCTTAATCCTGAATATATAATTAAAAGACATTTTTTCCATAGAACATAGTCCATAAACAGGTAAACAGCTGCTTTTGAGAGCAGCTGATCACCCATACCATCTACATGAAGCAGAGGTTAAATGTACTGAACATAATCCAGGGAAAATAAACTTCTCTTAGGCTTTTGACTTATCAGATAGAGAGGTAAAACTTATCTTAGGCTTTTGACTTATCAGATATACAGGTAACATCTGCAGAAATAAACTTGTTTTTTGCAGATGATGACAAACTAAATAAGACAGCCCCTACAATGATTACTGACTGCAAATGCCTTTCATTTTAAAACCAGTTTATGTTCCTCTAAGTCTCACAAAAAACTAATTCCGTTTAAAGATGCTTTAACATTCCTGAAAGACAGCAGTAATCCCAAATTTCATTTAGCTGGGGCATCCCAAAGACTGTGGAAAACACACAAACAAATTTACTAGAGAACTTGGAAACATCTCAGTTGACAGTAAAACCACACGTGCTGTCATCACCGGTTGACTGAATTCCCCCTTCTGGCTCTCCACACAGGTGAGTCAGCCCGCAGGCCCTGGCAGCTCCGTGCAGGGCTGAGCTGAGCAGGGGCTCACCTCGGGGTCCAGGCTGAAGGTGCGCAGCAGGGGCTCCCCCAGCCTCATGCCCCCCACGTCGAAGATGACAGAGGTGAGCTCATCACTGACAAGGACATCCTTATCATAGAGGGTCAGCTCCAGAATGTTCTAAATGCAGAAAGAAACAAACAGCCTAAGATGAAGGGGCAGAAACACTGACAAACCTGGGGAACTGCATACAATGGACGCTTTGTGTCCATTAATCAATCCCCTTCCCCTTTCCAATCCTAAGGAAAATTCAGTATTTTCAGCAGGGCTTACAGCATAGTTAAGCAAAAAATTCTCCTAGTTGACACCATTTAGCTAAAGTATTTTCTTAGCTTCCCACCTAGAGGGAGGCCCCAGCTGAACTCAGGTAGCAGCGCTCTCCACCAGCTCCTGTTGCCCAAGGAGCAACAGCAATTTCCACTCTTTCATGGTGATTTAGTCCAGGATGCTATAGGGACCAATTACTTCCTGCTCAGCACTGTCTCAGAGATGGTAAATTCATGAGAAACTGAAACAGATACAGTGAGGACATATGGCATCCAAATAATAGCCTTGCAGCAACTAGTTCTCAAGGAGACAAGACTGAACTTGGAATTTTGGTGGCAGTCTCCAGCAGAAACCAGGCTGAGGTCTCATGAGCCCGGAGGGAAAGAAAAAGATCCCACACTCTAAAGTTGAGCTTTCCATTTTCTTACCAGTCAAGTCAATTACCATTCCACATTTGTCACCAACCACTGTGGAAAGGTGAGGTGGGTTATTTCTTGTTAATAGACACCTTATTCCAAAGCCTGGGATGTTATTCAAAGCAATAGTGCCCCACTAAAACTGATCTTTTAAAGTACAGTTTCCTTCCCCCTACCATCAGTGTCTGCTTTGAGAATGAATGCTGACAATCTGAAGACTGTTAAACACTGTATTAGGTCCTACACAGAGAGTAGATGCACAGCCTCTACCCAAGAGTTTGAATTTGGTTTTCTCAATCATCAGAACTGATGGCAGAACTTAACTGAATGAACTACATGGCAGTGAGTAGAAATTTAGTTCCTGTGAAAGAAGGAGCAAACATCAAATAGAAACTTGCTTGATCAAGGAATTTCCTTGAATTCCACCAGGTAGTGCCATAACTTCCCTTTCCTGAGATGCATCACAAGGATGCTTATGGAAAGTTCTAGCTGCAATTTACTTGAGAGAGCAGTTAAACACAGCAGTTTTGGTACAGCTTTTTGTACCACTGAAGACAACTGACACCTTACAAGCAGCACTAGTTTTGAGGGTAATAAAGAACCCTTGGTTTTGAATGAAGTATCAAAAGCAAGCCAGTACAAAAATACAAGTAGTCCAACCCACTCCACAGTGTGTCCTTACCTTGACAGCGCTATGGATCCGATACTGGAAAGTTTCATTCCATTCTGGGTTCTCAGAGTTGTCAACAACCTGAGTTCGGGAGACACTGGGAGATGCAGTGGGCAGCTTTAGCTCCACATAGCAGTCTGCCTTGGACACTGCAGCAGAGAGCAAGACAGGCACCAGAAAAGCTTTAGTCAAACATACTCTTTCCCGTGAGCTCCTCATTTTCTAGATCTCATTGCATCATAGAAAAGTGCAAATTTAAGGCTGGACTTCTAAAGCAAAAGTCTTTAATGAAGTAAATGTCTTCAAACAGAAGCAAATTGATTATTAGGTGCCTATATTTCTTTTTTCTGATTCACCAAAATCATAAAGCCCTTAAAAAAAGGATAGTATTTAAAATTAGGAAAATCAACTTTTAAAAAAAGATTACTGCTGATACTAGGCCTATTGCCTATTCTCCTATCCCTAGGCATCAAAGAGCCTAAGCCTACTAAAAGTCCAAGGAGACAACATCCACTACTGCTGAACCCTTGTTTAGACAGGCCAGGAGCTGGGCTGCTTCCGTTTCCTGAAAACAAATTATTGCCTCAGAGCCCTTCCTTCTTCCATTTAGGGCCCCTTCAACAATTCAAGTATGGGGACCACTCTTCCCTCCAGGCCATAGAAAAGAACTCTTGACAACACGATTCTAGCCCTCAACCTCTCAGGAGGTTTTTCTGTTCCCTGAACAGCTATTTGGCATTCCAAGTAGTTCAATGCTGGATGCCAGATATAAACTTAAGGCAGACTATCTTACTTGATTTAATCTGGAGTAATTTAATATAAATGAGTTTTAAAGATCCAAATGTCCCAAACAGCCATGAGATCTTTACACAGGGAGGGAATATATACCATGCTATCAAAACCAGGAACAGCTTAAAAGCAGTTTATCTTGGAAGCAGTCAACTACCTACTTCCTTTAAAGTCTGCAATGACAAATAAATAGCAGGTACATCAAATAAAGCACTACTACAACTGAGAAAATAAGCATTTGAAAGCTAGAATTAAAGATTTCTGCTTCCAATTTCAGGAAGACTATTCAGCAGGAGCAAGGGTGAAACTTGCCATACCCAGAAGGCTGAATCCAGAGAAAGGAATACAGAATTGGCCACAGTAGAGCAGGTAAAGGAGCAGGGAAGCAAAAGAGTACCAGGACTTACTTGATCTTGTTTCTGCAAAGAAAGAACAGCTGCAGCTGCTCAATCTGCAGATGGGCCTCACATAAAGCTTTTGAAATACAGATATACTACATCATAGATACACTATACTATATAGTATAAATGTACTTTATACTATACATATAATGCTTTACATGAGGAGCTTTTGTTAAGACATAAAGGCAATGAAGTGTGTGTAGATAAGAGGCTGCCTTAACAATGCTCTCTGTGCTGGAGGCATGCACCAAGGAACCAACGTGTTTTCATAATGCCTTGAGTAAATACTTACACACATCTGTACCCTTGATGTTTCTGGCTCGGAGGACTTTTACTGTTAGGTTGTAGTAAGGGTGCTTTTCCCACTGAAAAGAGAGAAACAAGCTCAGCATTTAGCTCACTAGCAATGCCTGCTCTGTAACCACACCAGTATTAGACCAGAGAAATGGATCAGAACCAGCCAGCCCAAACTGAGCTATTAGCAAATCAGTTTGGGAACACACACAGCACTTTCAGTGCCCTGGAGGACAACTAAAGGAGCCTAGAAGGAAACTCAATTCCCTTTTGGCAATGCAAGAGCAATGTCTTAGGGTAACTCCTCATGAACTTCAGAAAGTAAGAAAATCCCCTTATTTAGGGATTCCTCTAATTATAGATCAGTTTTTAATTGCTTTGTTAGTACATTCTTGCTGAGTGAGAAACAGGTGCTAAAGCTGCTCAAACACATTCATGACAGCTAGTTCAAGAGCACTGGCCAAGGGCAAATGAATGCATGAGTAAAAGCAGACGTGGCAAGAATCTGAAGAGCAGGGTCTAAAGTCATAAAAGGCACACAGTGTTTACAATGAGGGAAAAAAAAAATGCTTGCCAAAACACCTCATGGCAGTTTGAGTTAGAAAAGACAAAACTTAAATTCATTTTCATTGTGGACTGCTAACTGGTATCAGCATTCTAAACATGCAGGTCACTTCACCAGCACAGATAAAAATGTAATCCTTACTCTTGAAAGCTTCTGGGAGACTATTTTTGGAAAGTAATATTAGTATCTAAATGCCAGCATGTGAAGTGGGAAAAAAAAGTCTGACTAGATCCTAGAATATCATGAAGGAGAAGTGGGGAAGGGCAGGGAACAAGAGAGAACTGCTTGAGGTGATTTAGTACAGAGACTGCACAGAAGTAATTGTGTAAGCCTCAGGAACAGAATGAGATATTGCCTCATTTTCATCAGTTATGACACAATCCTGGCCAGCTAAGAACTTTTCCTATTCTTAAATCACATTTTCAAAATGCTCTTCACAAACAGGCATTACTTCACATTCACAATTTTCAACATGGTTTGCTTGAGACCAGAGTTTAATTTTAGATATGCTAAGTATTAAATTCAACAAGATCTTTACTTACAACAAAATACTGCAGATTGACAAATGAGGCACTGGAAGAGGTTCCCCAGAGAAGCTGTGAATGCCCATTCCTGTCCTGGAAGTGTTCAAGGTCAGGCAGGAGCTCTGAGAAACCTGGTCTAGTGGAAGGTGCCCCTAGCCATGGCAGGCGGGTTGGAGCAAGATGACCTTTAAGGTCCCTTCCAATCCAAACCAGTCTTCAATTCTATGATTCTTGAAATATTCTATAAAAATGTAGGGTCTACATATTACTGAGTTGGATCTCACAGAAACCAGTGAATCCTGAATTGTTAAACTCTTCTTGAATGTTCCTTATCTGATAAATGGAATTATACTATGTTTGTTAAGCAGTCACATTCTTGGTGAGTCTTCCTTATTTTTCATCTTTTGGGGATACCTGCCAGCTTTTGCAAAACAGGGTTTGAACAACACAATAAACCAAGGCATACACAGTATACTGAACATTTTTGTATTAAGCAAGCACCATCCATCCTGACCAACAAGCAAAGAGCAAAAACTACATGAGTCACCTAAGATTTCTCACATGCAGGTACTAAATTAAACTGGTGCAAATAAACTTCAGTTATGCTGTTACTAATCTTAAAGACACTTACTTGCAGAAATGACATGTTGAAGATATTCTTTCCTTTATTTGTTTCTGTGAACAAGACATGCCTTCACAGTGAATTTCACCATGACTTCCACCCTTCAGATGCTAGTTTCTTCCATCTTTAAACCTTTCCTAATCACCTTTCTTTTATTCAGTCCCTAACACTAGTTTCTCAGGCAAAGGCTGACCACCTTTCTACTTCATCAACTTGGGGCATAGATTACTGATAGAAATTCATGATTGTATATGTTATTCTCACCAGCTTCCTAAAGTTCCTGCAACTCCTCTGTTTGTTGAGACATGAAGCTACATAATCACACCCCATGGCTGTGAAAGCAGTCTTCATTCACATAGCATGGCTGTTGCCTGGAAATCAGACACTATGAGAGCAAGCACAGAGCACCATGAAGATAGCCCATCCTTCTTTTATTGCACACCATCTGTCAAAATGTACTTACATGCTCAAAAGAAAGTCCTTTCCAAAGGTCTCTAACACCTTCAAATTGCAGCCAGTCATTACACAGCTGAGGGAACATTTTCCACATCCAGATCATAATTTAAGGGCATACAACTCAACAGAAACGTCACTGTGCTCTCAAGCCTGTGCAATCAGTTATGCCAGAACTTCCTCATATGCCTCTTTTACTTATCTTCCACTTATCTTTTAGCAAAGGCACAGCAAGGTCATAGCATGCTGCAGGTGAGCTTGCAGAGTAATGAAGCATAGGAGTATCAGATATGCCCTATCTGAATGATCAGGGAAAAGGCAGACAAGAAATCCATATGGGAAATGGGCAACAAATACTGATGACAGCTCTGCCTGTAGCACTCTGCATGGCAGCCTACCAATGTATGTGACTGATGCAAGCAGCTAACTTCTGCTTTGCTTTTCAGTGGTTTTCAGAATCACTGCTTTTCCAGAGCTCAGGAGTGCATCTGAAGCAAAAAAACAAAAGCCTCCTTCAAATCCTAAAATGAGGGCACAAGGCTGAATTTTCACAAACTTAACTTTGCAAACTGTCTGTACCTTTGGTCTAAAGTGAAGATGCTGATGCAGCTGGAAGTGACTGCAGAACAAGTCATCCCATCTGTAGGACCCAGTAATCTTTACTTTCACATAGTCCAGGACACCTGCCTTTATACAGTGGGCAGTAAGTGCTGGGATCCACCCCACAGCTCTCAGCGCAGGCAGAGGACTCATCATAAGCCTGCCAGATTGATCACAAAAATGCTGTCATAGCAAATAGAAAGACACCTTCTAAGACACATTTTGTTCACAGCTATTGGGAAAATTAGGCAGCTCAAAGAAATGTCCAGTTTACCAAAGGAGCAGTTTCTCCCCATCTTGTTCCTGCTCCCAAAGAAACACTGCTGCACATCATTCCCTTCTTTGTGGCCTAAGAGTCACAAGCTTGCTTTTAAAGACCAAGGCAAATCCCTGCCTTTCCTGGGCACCCCTTGCACTGTCCCTCCTCCCTCAAGAGACTCACAGACCCAGCCCTAAGAGCCATGGTCTTCTGGCAGGCAGGATTTATAGTTAGCCAGGACATGAGCAGTGCCAGCAGCTCAGTAACACAACAGCAGTGGCAAACACCAGGTTCACTGTCAGGTTATTGTTGTTTGCCTTTAGAAGTGAATCCAATGCTAAACTCTGGAAAATTAAAGCAGTCTGATTGCGTTAAATTTACCTACAAACCCAAAAGGATGATCTGCTGCCCCACCCCTTGCTCAGTTGCTATCAATTAGTCAATACTAAAATCTCTCCCTACAGCCAGCAAAATTTTAAGTAATGTTAATTTTTCTAAAATTTAAATAGCAAGCATCTGAGGGAAAATATATTGTTTTACAGGTTAATGGAGGTTAACATGAGCCTCTTCTAACCTGATCTCCTAAGTACTAAACAATAATATTAAAAAGTCAACAAGTTTATTTCTATCACACAGCAAGCAGAAGTGCAGAAAGCGATACAAGCAGCAAGTTGTCTTGTGACAATTAATGGTCACCTCAGTTTTAAGTTGTATACTGAGGGGTTGGCGTGATAGGATAAGACAAGTGTGATCAGCTTATAGATCAAATTCTCCACTCAAAAGGTCCTTCATAAACATTTAGCTTAATTCAAAATTGAAATTATTAGCCTAACCATCTTATACAATGAAATTATTTCATTCTATTTAAAGGACAAACACCTCAAAACCATTTTATCTGTTGTGGTTGCACTGCATTATGAACAGGAGCTGAAGCCATCATTAGTCTTTGTCTAACTGAGACCATTAATCCCTGTAAGGTAAGATAGAAAGCAGAACAGAAGGCAACTGTAGTCAAGGTTATTTGGCAAGAAAACACATAAGCATGATTTCATCTCCACTGATGAAAAGTACAGTATTCTGGACTCTCCCCCCAAAAAAGTACTTGACATCAGCTCAATTCTGCTCCCCAAAACCTAAGGAAACACAGATCCTCTCTGGATTTCCTCAGGCAGACCCTAAATTTAATAAAAGCCTGAAATCTCCATTCATATGACCATTAAGAGAAAAGTGTGGATAACAATAAACTTTTTCCTTCCTGCAGAAGTGCAGGACAGGTTTTCCATGCTCGCAGCAACAGGAAGTCACCCCTGAGCACATCAGCCAAGGAATGCCATCTCCGAGCCGGCACCACGATGTCTCTTACCCGCCAGTGACAGAACCCAGTGTCTTTCCTCTCCTTCCTTTGGAAAAGCACTGCTGCCAGAAAAGGCAGCACTCTGGGTGGAAATGGCCTCCGCAGCACCTCATGGAACATGGGGAAAATGTCCTGCTGTCTCTGCAGAAAATCTGACAGGGGAAGCCAGAGAGCAAGGCGAGTCGGCGGGCGCCCGGCTGCGAAGCGCTGCTGGCCACGGGCTCGTGCGAAGTTTTGCGCAGGACTGGGCTGTGCTCCAGCCGGGACAAGCGGAGGTGTGGCCCACACTTGCCAAACAAGCCGGCTCAAAACCTCGCTGGCAGGTTTTTCCAATATTGCTGCAAGATAAGGACAGTAAAGCAGCACCAAACAGGGAAGCCCTGGGCAGGAGGAGCCACCACTTTGTGATCCAGCCGCGACACCTAAATCCCCAATCCAGATTTTCTTTGAGAGTTCCAGCAACTGATGTACAACTATGGCCATTTCAAATCCTTTTCAGAGCTTCAGCACAACCTACCAGTACTTTTAAATAGAAAAAAAATGCCCATCATACAAGCCTGAAGTAAAGCAAAGTCTGTCACTGACTGTAGCTGTTCAGAGCAGTTTCAGGGAGGCCAGAGCAGAGACACCACAGTTTGGGCTGCCATAAGATTCCTCAGGGAATATCAACTCCCCACCACATCTCCCCTCTCCGAGCAGCCTGCAGAAGTCTCCCCCTTTTCTTCATTTCCACGTAACACAGTCTTAATTCTTCCACCAAAAGTTCTCAAAAAACTTTACAAGAGACAGGACATATTTTTGTAAGAATCTATCACACCTTAAAAAATAATTAAGCAGTGAAGGAAATAGTTTACTAAAAGCGATTAGGTTATTAGCAGCTGCTGACAGTTGCCTCACTGGAGCATTTTATCAAAGAGCTGAAATTTATAAACTGGAATTGCAGACCAAGTACCAAACTTATGTGTTACAACAATTAAAGTGACAGAAAATGTATGAAAGCCAGTAATGCAGCATGTCATCAGCTCTATGCAAACATGAGAATGTGACATTCTCAGCAAGGTCCCATTCATTAATCATTTCCTGTCATTAGCGTCAGTCACTAGGCTAGAATTTAAGAAAATTAATAAAAGAACTGACATTTCAAATACAAACAAGTCAGCACTAGGTGGTGAATTCACAGAATGAAGAGTCAACACAGAGGCAAAAAGCAAACAATGCCATTGTGAAACGGCCAGCAGCTGCTCTAAAGCCCTCATGTCCTACTAAATGGTACAGCAGACATGGGCTGAAAAAACTATTTCTTTGCTTTTCTACTCACCACTGCACTGACAGCGAAGGACTGAAGCACCACTCCTATGATGAAAGGCTGAGAGAGCTGAGGCTGTTCAGACTGAATAAAAGAAGGCTCCAGGGACACCTCATAAAAGCCTTCCAGTATTTAAAGTGGGCTTTTAAAGAGTGAGAGTGACTTTTTACACTACCAGATAGTGACAGGACAAGGGGGAACAGTTTTAAAGAGGGTAAACTTAGAAGAGATATTAATAAAAAACTCTTTACTTAGAAGATTCTGAGGAACAGGTTGCCTAGAGCAGTTGTGGATGCCTCATCCCTAGCAGTGTTCAATGCCAGGTTGGGGCCCTGGGGGGTTGAATCTAAAATATCTTTAGGGTTCCTTTCAACCCAAATAATTCTATGACTATCATATTAGGTTTTATTTATCTTCAAATAGATTGTAGAACCATAAGTGTGCTTTTATTTTTTATATTTAATCTAACAGTTTGACTATAAATTACAAGAAAATTGAGGTGACCTCACAGTACAGTAGCATGGAGAAATCACACTTATTCTAGTTTATTACAGGCAGTGGATAAACCCTCTACTTTATCCTGAGTGCCCAATTGCACATAAATTCAGCTTACCTGCCTTCTGACACTCCCTCCTCTTCCAATGAAATCTCACTCAGCACAGGGATCTCACTTTTACAGAATTTCTCCTAAATCTCTCAAGAAAAACTGAAAGCTCTTTAGAACATATGCTTGAGAATTGTTTCATAATCAACAGATCATCCATTTGCAGTGTCTGTGTGCAGTTTTAGCCATCCACAGACACTGTTGTCTTAATAGCAAACTTAATATCCAGACAAACTACTTGGTTTTGTTATTTCCCATCAGACTAAGAAAACAGGCAAGCACAAAGACATCAAAAGATGAGGCAAAGAAAGCCTCCCACCCAGCAATTTTACTTCTGCTTTGATTTGTATGCCCGCAGGGGTAAAGGCAGATGTATATGTACATTGCGGATTTGGGGTTTTTTAATCAGAAGCATTAAATGACATCATCACCAACTATATTATATATTATTTAAGATGTGTGTAGATATCACAAGGGACCCCTTTTGGTTGCATTAGCAGCACTGAGAGGAGAGCTGAAATGCAGTATACAAGTAGAAGAAAGAAGAGATGAAAATCTGAAAGGATGCAAGCAAGGATGCAAGGATAAGATTTGATTTGTGTTTGTTGGGGATTTTTTTAGTTTTCTCCAGAAATACCAATATACTTAGTTGTTCAATTTATTCATCAGACTTGGATGAAGGAGCAGATGCCTCCTCAGCAAGCTCACTGATGACACAAAGCTGGGAGGAGTGGCTGATACCCCAGAGGGCTGTGCAGCCCTTGAGAAGGACCTCAACAGCCTGGAGAGATGGGCAGGGAAGAACTGTCAGAAATCCAACAAAGGCAAATGCAGGGTCCTGCACATGGGAAGAATAACCCCAGGCACCAGCACAGGCTGGGGGCCAAACTACTTTAGAGAGAGCTTGCACTGAATGACCCACCTGACCCATCCTGTGATTCTTTCTGTGAACATGGAGACAGGAGACTTCCTCAGTGCTGGGGCTTCCCATGGCTATAGAATGGGAAAACTGAGGATCTGTATTCTACTTCCAACACCAGACTACTCTATGACCTACAGCCCAAACAAGTGCAAACCTGTGAATCTAAATATTTCCTGATTTGGTCACACAGAGCTCAACACCCCTGCCCGGCATAAAATAGTGCATCACCACTCAAAAAAAATTTGTCAGTAATTTTAGTGTTCTCTAGTAAGTACATATTTAATGGTATAATGGTGTAAGATTTGCAAAAACATTATTCAAAGAGATAATTCAAAAGCGGTTTTAGTAAAATTTTGAGAACATTCACAAGCATGTATAAACTTGTAGATTTAAAAACCTACATTGAGAATTGACACACTTGAACACTTGATTTACACATACTAAAGCAAGGGGAATACTGAGATAATGCATTGGGCCTGACTTCCAGGAGAAAGTGAGGTCTAATATACAAATAAAATCTACATCAGCCCAGAAAAGTTAACTGCACAATGACTGAAACACACACTGGTTCACGATATTTATTACAACCTATTGCTTTAGATAAGCCTGCTGTAAGTTTGGTAAACCCAAAGCACATTGTATGAACCAACAAAAAAAAAAAGTACAGCACAAGCCACATCTCTGTAAAAGGTATGCAGTGGAGACGAACAGAGGCACAACTTTAGTCTTGTAAGTAAGAGCACAATGAAGATCCTGGTAACAGATAATGAATGCAAATAAAAATCATACTACCAGTACTAAACATAAGGTAAAAATCAGAGTAGCATTGTTATATCTGTATACAAAGAATGCAGGGTCTTTTTAAAAACCCTGTCTTCATTCTCTACGACCTGTAAACACAACTCTCCCAAACCATCTTCCCTCCGTACCTGAACTAGAGATAGAGATCTATACAGCATGTGCAAATCTAGTCTAAGTATTTTTAGGCTCTCTTCTTCAAACAGAAGAAATACAAGTTTAAAAACATTAACACCACAGATTCCCTCTATCCAGCCTCTGCAGAAAGTATTCAATAGCAATACTGCCCAAGACATCCAAGCAAAACACTGGACTAAGAAACCCAAAAGAATGCATGAACAATAAATACAAACACATATGAACAAGGAAAAAACAGTTATCAAGGGCAACTCTTAACACTGGCAAATGAAAGTGAATTAGGACCCTTTTCAGCCTATAGCAGATCTGTTCCTAAAAAAAACTCACATGATTTAAGTAAACCTATGATGTTAACTGAGGTTCAACTACACTTTAGGCAGACCAGATTTATTCATCAGCTTGTTCTTTAAGATGTCATACATGGTAGTTACATGTCATGCTCCATACCACTTAATAATGATTTATTTATAAGTATTGCTAGACCAGGATGCTGAGAGTCAAACAGTCCCTCCACTGGGTTATTTGCTGCTGCTGCTGCCTTTTCGTTACCACTCCACAGATTCTTTCTGCAACAAACATTTTGTCCCTCATACCAATCTGCTACTGATTAATGTTTCTGAAAAAATAAGTTAGACAAAAATATTACAGTCTAGAGTGACTATGGAAAACTTAGTTCTTGTGTTAAGTCTTCTGGCCCGAGAGTAATTTTAGAACAGTACCAGCCTGAACAGAATGCAGTTCTAGAGCATTTCAAACACACAGATGTTGAAACAGTCTGGATTTTACTTCAATGTTGGAAAGTGAACGAAAGACTGAAGAATTTATATACAAAAGTCTCAAGCATAGTCCAGAAGCTCAAGCAGTAACTACAGTCCACTCCTTCCAGAAATTGCTTTACAGGGTGTTCTTTGTTTTTTCCTTTGAGTGCAGATGTGAACTTCTTCCAACAGTCTCTGAGCTTCCACTCACACTAACAGTGAACACAGTCAGTGCAAACAACACACAAGTTAATTCAATTTATAGCTCTCAGACTAAAACAAAAAGGGAAAAAAGCTTCTTAATGGTATCTATCATTTGTCTGTTTATCTCCTGTGAAACAACTTACCAGAAGGTCAGGCAAAACCACTGAATATCAATAGAGAGTCCTTTGGCCAGCATTTAAACCATTTCTGTTGCTGTGATAAAAGTTACACTTCCTAAGTCTAGAAACAGACACAGAAGCCTCCTCTACACAAACACCTGGTGATCCCCATGCAATGCTGATATGGCTGCAAAGACTTTCAGGGAATTTTCTTTTTTTGAATAAATACTTCCATACAAGGCCAAATCACAACATTGCCACCCTAAGCAAGTACATTTTATTGTAAAACTTGATTTGTGGTGAAAGTCCAACAGCTGTCTAATGGTTCATTTGCAAGGCTGGAGTGTTATAAAACTCACTACAAAAATCAGTTTCTATTCTTCATCTGAGGACTGAGAGGTTCGGTGCAGTTGCCAGCACTGTAACAACATGGTTAAAGTAATTTTCTAGTAAATCAGTATTGCTGGGTAGGTACATTCAGTCCATAGATACAAATGATTTCTACCCAGTGTAAGAGAACCTAGCAACAAGCCTCAAAAATCTCAGATACATCAACTTCTTTAGTCATCAGTACTGAATTTCTTATGAATGTTGGGATTATTGACCATGGCAAGGTCAGGTGTCCAGTGTGTTGACTTCTTTGGAGCAGAAATAATGCACAACTATTGCATTAGGGTATCGAGCAAATGCACTGCAAAGAGAACAAAACACAACCATCAGCTGTCAAGACAAACATTGTTTTCCATATTCAAACAAGAGCATCCAAGTTGGGCAGAATCAGAGATAGACACATGACAGTGACACTTTTTTAAACTATAGCCTGAACATATTAAAGAAAAAGCAGACAAAGGTATTCTATGGATATTCTAAGAGGTTTGCTTGGAGGTTTTTAAAATCTATTTTCATTTCTGCAGGCACATTTTACTTGGAAGTCACTGGTAACAAGTTAAAGACTGAGAGACATGCTTGCCCATCAAAATCTTGCTGAACTTAATAGCACCAGAAAAATTCTAGACAACAAAAACAATATTGCATATGCAAATTTCAATTCTGATGCTACGTGCTGCATGTTAAAAACGAAAATTTAATATGTGTAGCAATATTTAGACTGATGTTTATTAAAATGTTTTGGGAAAAGAACTTTTCCCTATCATTGTTAATGCTACTCATATCTCAGAAGGGGTCCCATCAAAAAGAAAATAATGACTGAATAACGTAGCATTTCCCTCCAGCTGAAAGGAAAAAAAAAAAAAAAAAAAAACCAAGTGCAAATAAAATTTGCATTCTATATTAGCTACTAAGAATGGTATAAGTAAAGTTCACAGATTCACAGAATATTCTGAATTGGAAGGGACCCACAAGGATAAGAGTCCAAATCTTAAGTAAATAGCCAGTACAGTGATTGAACTCACAAGCCTGGTGTTATCAGCACCATGCTCTAACCAGCTGAGCTCATCTCAGGGTCACTGGCATCCAAATCATCAAGCAAATTAGTTCTACCTTTAAACATCCTATTGCATGTAGGCTACAAAACATACATCAGTCAGGGAGCCATAAAGCCATTGGATAGAGAAAACTACACATGTATCTTAGCTTAAAATTCTTTATAGCATCCTCCTCAATTCTAGTTATGAAGCAGGTTCTTCGAAAGGCAGTGGTCTTACAAAGTTTTCAAAATTCAGTATGAGGACCGATTTTATGCCTTCTAGAGTTGTGAAGTAAGAACTCTTGGGAATTTCTGAAGGAGTTTTATACTCCTTTGTTGAAAGGAGGATTAAACTCCTGCAGCAAATTCACTGACCAAAGCTTTGGTCAAAGTATTCCTAACCATTCAGCTAATGAATGTAATTTGTAATTCAAATACTCTTCAAATGGCTCTCTCATACTGCTGTTCTCTCTGGCTATACATACATTCAGTTTTCCAACATTCTTAGTTTAAGTGTACCAGATTAATATTTGATTCAGTTTACCCAGCTCTCTTACCTGTTACCTATCTTCTTTTTACAAACAGTGCACACCTTCTCCTCTGTAATTATGCACTTTACTTGCTGATGCAAGATCCGCTCCTCCTGGACCTAAAGAAGGATAAAAAGCCCAAGCTGCTCAAAAAGCAATGCCAGGCCTTGGTCTGATGAAACTGCAAACCATCACAGCATTTAACTGTCAGTGGCTGTACCCACATTACCAAGTTGTGCAGCACAGAAGAAGCCGCTCTGTGGAGCGGAGCAGGTGGTACTGAACACCCAAACCCCACACTGTATGAATCACAGGGTTTTACTTTCACCTTGGTCCACAGCCTAAGGCATTCAACCACTAAAGGGGGTTAGGGTGAACATTGAACTGTGTCCCCTGGCTCACTTCGTTTGAAAGAAATTCAGTCCAAGCTGAGATGATTCTGCAGTGCACACCACAGCACAGTGAGCAAAGACAAACACTCATCCAAACTAAAATGAATGTACACACCATCTCCTGCAAAAAGGATGTTCAAGCTACATGGTTCCCATTTAATTTCAGATGCATTACAGCACCATCTAGAGGACACCCATCCCCAGTAAGAAACAGTATATTTCAATATTGGACATATTTTAAAACATTATTCCAATAAATAACAGGTGGTGGATGCTCACCCTCAGAAACTCTGCATGGAGAAGGTTCTTGAGCACTTGATTAAACCTTTTCTTCTGAGCATTTTCTTCAAGTACTTTCTCTAAGAAGATGCGAATCTCACTAATCTGTGTATTTGCTGGGAGTAGGTTTATTGCCTGGAACAAAGTTAGAAAAAGTTAAAAAGGAACAGAGATAAAAATAGAATAGAAACTGACACATTTAGATTGACACATTCCAGTCACTTGCCTACTCCAGTACCTTCTGCAGTCTCCTGCCAACAGCACAGAGTACTTACAGGTCTGAATTACCTTAGTGGTATCCAGTTTGCTGTGGTGCAGTTCCAAAACCTGCAGAGCAGCCTGCAGGTTGGCTTGAGGCTCCAGCACCTCCATCTTGATGGGTCCCAGGCAATGAACACTGGGTGGGGAGAGATACATGCGCAGCAGGGACAGATACACCTGTAGCACACACAAGGGAAGTTCTAAAACTGCTGCACACATCCACAGCTGACAGTGCTGGTAAAACCCAGCAGTGGTACTAAGTCACACCCATGCCATCCAAAATTCTGCACTGCTCATCTAAACAGCTCTTAATGTAGGCTCAAATCCAACGATACAGTAACATTCTCAACAAAAACCACCCCATGATCATCTAGGAATTCCTAAATTCCAAGAGATAATACATAGGTTCCCATATACTACACAAACCCTGAAAATGTCTATACAGAGTAAGAACTTTCAAGTTTTGAACAAGGTATGAATAGCCTTCTACTCCCTTACTGAACAAGAAGCTACTTACATC